ATAATAATAATAATAATAATAATAATAATAATAATAATAATAATAATGAAAAAAAAAACCCTGTCAAACTTCTTGTTCCTATAATTTTGTCCAAGGGGATTATTTAAATAGACTGAAAATCCACTGAGCTAGAAGTTAGCAACTTTCCCTTTTGAGTGGTTTATCGTTGTATAGTATGGAAGCAGGCATTCTAATATTCAGCAATTGGATTTTGAAATACTGCTTAACAAAGCAGACATTTAGGGTAATCTTCTGTTATATCCAGCCTCCTTTCCTTGTAATTGCTCCATGATACCAGAATCTCCTTGGGTCATTCTATTTTCACAATAGAAAAGTATGCAAGCCTTGTAATGCCACAGTAGTCCTGATACATTAGCCGTGCTAAATTAAGTAAGGGATCTTTGTAGCTACTGAAGAGAGTTTCCAACATGACAGGAGGTTACGCAGTACAGTGCTAGGACGACCTCCGAAGAGCCACTCAGAGTAAGCAAAAATAGCAAGACTTGTCCCCATCTGCTCTAGAATGCAGATTAGCAGTCCTCATCTGGATTTTCTTTCAAGTAGAGAAATTTGTTGCATATGAAAGCTAGTCTGTCTGGAGAAGGTGGTTCAACCCAACCCTGTTATATGAGGCTACTGCTATTGGGAAGAATCCTAACATAAACCTTGCATGTGTATATTGCTGAGAATCAGATCCGATTGGTTAAAAAAAATAGAAACCTCTGGCAGATGAATGAATAGAAAATTCTGCTCATGAAAAAGTCTGCACGTGGTCTTATCTGCCTCTACCCCAAGACTTTAAACAGACTTTAACTTACAATGGTATATGAAGTTTGAGAATTTTGAAACTTTGCTTTCATATTCACAAGCACGTAATTCTAATAAGGGAATATTTTGGGGGATTGGACAACCTGATAAACCTAAGTTGTTGATTACAAAGCTGCATGTCGTACAGGATAAAATTAAGGCACCTGCATGCTCGCCAGACTTTCTGGCTTAGCATGTTGTGCAAACATATCTAAGGAAAATATGAGAGTCCTGTCTCAAAACAGGTCTATCACGTATAGTTTTGCCTCTGGAGCATTCCCCGACCCGGTGCCTCACCATCATTCAATCCACCTGGAGGGCTACAGAATGAGAAGAGCATCTAAGAACATCCAAAATGAATATTTGGAATTACAAATGTGGCATTTGCAGGAGTTTCATATCGGCGCGGGTCAGCAACACCGAAATGGCAGGCATGATTGGTCAATAAAAGGTCCACCCCTTTTTATGACATAACAGTGCCCAGGTGTTGAGTACTTGGGAACAACTTTGCTAAGTTGCCCAAATCTGTTCACTTTAGAGAACAAATAAGGACACCATACATGGTTACAAGCCATGGATGAAGGAGTTGAATAACCGGCAGCTGTCAGCGATATCCCCATGAGCCTATATTTTATTCCAAGTCTCCAACAGAGGCAACAATGGAGTTCAGTGTGATACCTACGTTACCACACACTACTGGCAGAGGGAACCATTTGGGGGGGGGGAAGATTGTGAAGTCAACATGGCACCCACAACTGCATATCTAAAAAACATGACACAGGCAAATCAATTGTGGTGGGGGTGGTCTCAATTTTGCAATTGTGACCATCCTGACTTGACTCCCCATTGGGAGTCCTACGCCACCAAGGTCCGTGACACACATTTAAGGTTTATAATTTAAAAAAAACAGGCCACCTGAACTTTGGAAACTGTAGTTCTCGAAACATCTCTTGACCCTAAGCAGACTCCCAGAAGCATTTTTGGAAGACAAGCTGATAGGTGCCTACATTTCAGTACATTGTTTGGAAGTGGAGCACCTACCCAGAAAAGGTGAAGGGAAACAACTGGTAAAGAGTATATTGGGAGCTAGAGGGGATGTGTACTTCACACTTGTCACTACGGCAACCTCTTTGTCCAGAGTACCTGTGATGGTCTCTGAAAACTTTTACTTGTATTCACCAACTCCAAAGAGCAGGGAATTTCCGCATTAGCCAATCCTGATTTATTGAGGATCATTCCTATCTGTGGACAAGACGATGCGTGAAGATTGCAGTCCTCTATCCAGATTGCTACTGACATTGGTGGAACTTCTGTGTAGATCTGTACAAATGTGTCAAGGTGCTTCCTCTGAAGTGCCACTATTGGACTCAAATGAACACATTGTGCCATTTATCTACAAAATTTTTTAATTGAAATACCTGTATAAAAAATATGATCTCCATACATTTCACACTGTTAAACAGAAGGAAAAAAAAATCCAAATCCAAGCTGCGTAAGTGCAACCAGATCACAGAACACACATCTATTAAAATAAATTAAGGTTTATGACTCTGCCACTCTTCCTTCCAGAGCCAATGCACAAAGACTGTACAATGTCAATAATTTAAAACCCTTCAAAAACAGTATTACTTTACAGTTCTGGTATGTCAATAATACCAGACGAAAAAAGGCATACTAACTTTTAAAGTCATTCTAATTCCCTTAAATTAGACTTTGTACAACATTTTTCTATCTTCCAACCAAAAATGAAGGAAAAAAAGAACAGGTATGGTCAGGCTTTATATATTTCTTTGTCAACAACCCACCCCTAACCCCCAAAAGAGGAAAAGACAGGAATGCAAAAATAATTGTCGACTGATCCCAGAGAAATCTCCACAACAGAAGAGAGATAAAAAGCAGTGTTGCATAATTCTAAACAAATAAATTAGCTAAAATAAATAGCCACAGCTGAGTCTGTGAGAGGTTTTCTAAACTCCAGACAATAAATAAAACTTGTATTGTACAGGGGGGGGGAAATTTACATAAACACATTATACAGGTAATGGGAAAAGGAAAAAAAAAAACCCACGCACACAGTCCTTGAATATTGCATTGATTGTGCATTTAACATGCCCATTCATACTGGTTTTTTTTCTTTTTAAGACTTGGAGGTTGGGGGAACTGAGAAAGGGCCTTTTTTTCTTGTGCCCAGTGGTAGAGATGAAATGAAATATGGATAAATGTTCCTGATAAAGAGCTGATAACCTGAAGGCTATGGAAATATGGTGTGGATCAGCAGAAGTTGTCTTGCTGGGGTCAGATTGGGGGGGTGGGGGGTTTGAGAAGGGAGAAAAGGCTGGGAAAGAAGAGGGTGAAATGTCTGTGTTCAAGTATTCCATCATCAGTTGATGGGACTACTTCATTCAGTCACTGAACATGTTTTCTAGTGCATCATAGGGAGCCGCTTCCCCAGCACCCAGAATGGAGAAGGGAAGGCAGGTTCTATAATGTACTGGATCTTCTTTGGACACACACAGCTCAAAAAAGAAAGTCCCACTGAAGCAGCTTTCAAAAAGGCACTCAAAAAAGCAAATAAAATTTAGTCCAGGCTCTATGAGAGCAAAAAGGTTTACCGTGTTATTTAAAGAGGTCACTGCTTTTCTTAATAATAATAATAATAAAAAATAATAATAATAATAATATTAAGGTCAGTCTTTCGGGTTAAGTACTGGCCTGGCCAACTCCCATATATTAGCGTTTCCAAAGGAAATTTCTTTCTGAAGCAGAAACCAGCAATAAGGGAATTTTTTTTAAAAAAAATCAATTCCCTCTGACAAAGATTCAAAGTACAGAATAATTAATGCATTTCTCTCCCTCCCTCCAGCCCCTTCTACATATTGGCAGCAGTCTTTTCACTCTCCCCCCCCGCTTTGTGGTTCCCCTCCCTTTACAAGGTCCTTAGCATTTCACAGGCTCTCGTTGCTTGAACTTGTGCGAGACACGTCCGTGCCAATGGTCCGTAACCGTATGTCACAATCTTCTGACTTCACAACTTCGGATTTGTGTAACCACGGGTGGTCAAAAATTTGCTCCAGGGTTGGCCTGTCTGAAGGCCTCAGGGAAAGGCACCATTTGATCAGTTGCTGGCATTCTGAAAGACAAAGAGAGGCAGTGGGTCAGCCCCCAAAACAGCGCTAAGTGGGGAAGAGAGAGAAACGGGGTCGTCGTGGAGATCTGCAAACTTGCGGCTCACCCAGGGAAATTCGCCTCCTGAAATACAGGCGTCCTCTCAAGATCTCTTCATCTTGCTCGAAAGGGATGTCTCCGCAGACCATGTCGTAGAGCAAAACGCCCAGTGACCATACAGTAGCCGATCGCCCATGGTATCTGTGATAGCGAATCCATTCTGGTGGGCTGTACACTCGTGTTCCTATGGGGAAGAGAAGACAAGATCCCCTGCCCTGTTAGCCAAGATGAACTTTGACTTGGGAGCATTATTTTACATGTTACCACTTCGAAAATCCCATTTAAAAAAAACCAAAACAAAACCCTCCACCCAGCACACAAACATATATGGGAAAATTCTGGACCTTACATCACCCCTGGGATTATATCATGTTTTAATCTCGGCCCTCGGGCTCGTTCTATTTTGTGGTGATGAGAAGCACAAGCTTCCCATCAGCTGACTGTTTACTAACATAAAGCTGCCTTTCCTTGACCACGTGGCGTCTGCAGCAGCAGCACCGTACCAAAAATAGACACAAAAGGACAAAGGAAGAGGGGATGAAAGGAAAGAGGCAGGGAAGTGGGGCGGGGGGGTAGAGAGGTGAAACTCTAGCCTTGGTTCCTAAATGTGACTAATCAGTTTTGGCCAGTTCCAAAAGTATGCCACTCCCTTTTTTTAAAAAAAAATAATAATAAAAAGAGAGAGAAAATCAGAGTAACCTTTTAAAAAGAGGAGTGAAATCTGCCTCGCGCATTAAGAAGGCAGTTAGCAACTGCCCTCCCTCTGCACCGAGTGGTTACTTGGATACCAAATGAAAACTGGAATTTGTGATGCTGAAGGTCACATGTCCAGGAGAGTCTCGTTTCACAACAAACAGATGTTAAATGCTGCAGCTGACTAGGGAAGGGAGGTGAAAATGGTGCCTCCTTTACTTGGATCACCTTCACCTCGAAAGGAAGAAAACCCTGCTGTTCTCTTAGGCAAAAAGCAGAGATAATGTATTCCGTACAACAAAAGGAGGCAACCTATGTTTCAGCGGGTAAGTTTTAAGAAAGGAAAAGAAAAACTTCTTTGGGGGGAAGTTTCCCCCCCCCCCTTCCGGTCCCTCAATCTGCAATGCGGGATTTCCAAAACATCATTAGGGGAATGAGGAGATGGGAAAGGAGAAAACCGGGTATTTGTGTGTATGGAGGGTGCGGGGGGAGCACTAAGAAAAGCACAGATGGAAACACACAAGCTTGACTCAACTGTAAACACATCGCCCTCTAGGAAAATGCCTTTATTTTTTATTTTTTTTTTGGAAGGCAGGGAACATATAAACTGCTGCGTCACTGCCTGGAATTGCTCCTTTCCTAAACAATTTGACACCCCCCCCCCCCCCCCCGCTTCCATCTGCCTCCATTGCGAAGGTTTTAATTATCAACCCGCTACAGACGTAGGCGACGAAGATATATTTTGTCGGCCGTAGGTGGTGAGAATGTGATTAAGCACGAGGGGGTTGTGTAGGGATGCATTCCCAATTAAGCACTCATCCACCCACCCAACACAGACAGGGACCGGCTGCGGCTGGGAGGGGCGCGTACCATCAAAGTCGGTGTAGACTGTGTCCTTGAGGATGGCTCCAGACCCAAAATCGATCAGCTTCAGTTCTCCCGTCCTGAGATCCACTAGAAGGTTCTCGTCCTTGATGTCTCTGTGTACCACCCCGCAGCTGTAACAGTGGCGCACTGCTTCCAGGACCTGATGGAAGAAGCCCCTTGCGGTGTCCTCATCCAGCGCCCCCTTTTCCGTTATGAAGTCAAAGAGATCCTTCACCAGGTCTGGCCGTTCCATGATGATCAGGTAGCCATCAGGCCTCTCGTACCAGTCAAGCAGCTTAATTACACCCCGGAAGCCTGAACCCACTTTCTTCAACAGGACTATTTCCAAGGGCACCATTACTCCACCCTACGAGGAGGAGGGGTTGGGAAAGAGGGAGAGAGAGAGAGAGAGGGAGAAAGAGCAAAAGAAGACATGATGAATTATTTGGAATTGCCGGGAAGGGAGGAGGGGAGGGAAAATCCCCTTCCTTGCCCATCCGAAAACAAATCACACACTTCTTTCTCAAAATGGAAATTCCAGCAGCCAGGCAGAGGACGGGGAAGGGGAGGGCTAAGCAGCTAGACCGATGGGGAAGGCGGCAGCTACTCCACTGGGTGTCTCTGCTGCCGCAGTCAAAAGGGGAGGGCAGAGGGGGAAGAGGAGGAGGAGGAGGAAAAGAAGAAACCTTGCCAAAATCCCCCCCCCCCTCAATGTAAACAATAACAGAGAACGGAGAGGCAAAGCAGCATGCGGGGTGGGGAAAGGGGAATCCATGGAAACCATCATCAGCCTTCTGTTATTGATACAGGGAGAGAAAAGCCGTTGGAAACTACTGCAAGGTGCAAGCAGGCAGGCAGGCGCACACATACGTTTTTGGGGGGATCCATCCTTAGATACTTACAATCGTGCCCCACTCTGTCACCCGCTCCTTCACCACATGTTTTACAGCTACCTGGAAGCAGGGAGGGGAAAAAAAAAAGAGAGAGAGAGAGGTTATGGGGAAACCAATCTGCAAATTGAATTTTTTTGGGGGCGGGGGAGGAAACGGGATGGAGGAGGGGGAGACCAAGTCCGATATGCCTGTTGCTGCTTGGCGTCAGAGAACTTGCCCAGGGATTTCTCTGCTCTGGATTCCAACAGCTGGAATTCCCAGCCAGGCAAAAAACGGGGATGGGTGTGTGTGTGGGGGGGGTGTTGCTCAAGAGCCTCCTCTTACCGGCAAGCCATCCGCAATCCTGTTCCCGGCGTAGACGGTGCCAAATCCCCCACTGCCCAAGACCGAGCCCACTTGATAGATTTTATCGAAGGGCTCCTTTTCCACTTTCACTGGAGAGGGGGAAGAAGAGAAAGCGGGGAGGTGAGAAACGAGGTGAAGGAAGAAAAAAA